GCTGGCCTCGAACTCACAGAGATCCACCTGGCTCTGCCTCCCGAGTGCTGGGATTAAAGGCGTGCGCCACCACCGCCCGGCGAGAAACTTTTTTAAATTAATTAATTTTATGTTGTGTGGGTGTTTTGTCTGAAATGTATATATGTGTGCACCACTTATGGACTCTCCAAGAAGCCAGAAGAGGATGTCGGATCCTCTGGGGCTGGAGTTACAAAAGGTGAACTGCCACGTGGATGCTCAGAATCCGACCTGGGTCCTTGGCAAGAACAGCCAGTGCTCCTAACTGCTGAGCCATCTCTCCAGCCCCAACTTTGGAAATGAAGAATGTGTGTGGTGGCTGGAACAGAACTGCAGGGAAGAGAGGCTCTGGAGAATCGTGTTGCGCCCTGGCACCAACTGACACTAAGGGACTGTGTCACCTTGTCAGGCGAGGTGGCAGCATCATGAGTATCTCAGAACAAGTGCATGTTTCAGACAGGCCCTGTGCACTGTGCAGGAAGGACACTGACGAACATGAGCTAGGATTTGCTTCAACATGGAACACAGGGATGGAGAGAAGGGGAGTAAAGAAAACCGCTGTGGCTACGTGGATCATCTGGTTAGCCTGGAATGAGCCTAGTGGGCTTCACCGATATCCTCTTTGTGCTGGGAGAACTGGGCACTTAGTCATTTTGAGACCGAGTCTCTAACCCAGGCTGGCCTCGGACTCTCTGTGTAGCTGCTAACCTCAAACACTCGACCCTCCTGCTAGGATTACAGGCTGCACCATCACACTTAGTTTTATGCCGTGCTGGGGATCAAACCCAGGACCTCCTGCATACCAGGTGATCATTCTGTCGGCTGACCTATATCCCCGGCCTGCACTTGACATTTTTATTATAAGATATTTTAAATTTCATGTGATATCAAGATATATCACCCTATGGAAAGAAAAGCTAGCCATATAAAATAGAACCAGATAAACATACTTAAGGTTTTTAATAACTAAAGAAATTAAAGAGAGTCACAAGTTACCTTAATATCTCTGAAATCTGCCCCAAAGTAGTGCCTGAAGAGGCCAACGTTGGCAAGCCTGGAAGGGGCAGACACTCATATGTTGCAGGTGGTACTGTAAATTAGACTGACCCTTCAGGCAATTTAGCAATAAATATTAAGAGCCATAAAGCTGCTCAGACCCTTTGACCCACTAATCCCCCTCCTGGGAATTTGTCCTAAGGATATAACTCAAACACAGGAAAAAAGCTGCATGGAGAAAGATGTTCTTGCCTCCATTATTTATAATAGAGAGAAAATGGAAATAACCTTAATGCCTTGCACTAAAGGAACTGGCCATAAATTACGAGATACCAGCATGATGGAGTGTATCACACAAACACTTGAAACAAACACATTGCGAAGTGGGAAAGTGTTTATAAAAAGCCTCGAGGGACAGAGACACCGAAGTGTACCCAAGTGAAAATAAAAGCCATTGAGGGGATTAGGGAAGAGAAATAGTTCTGATGGTGGTGTAGGATTGTGGGCCCAAATGAAAAAAAAAAAATTGTGTCACTTTCTCCATTTTGTATAGGAATGGCTTACGAAAATCACCCCCATAATGCTCTTTTGCCTTTCCTTCCTGCAGTATTGAGATTTGGTGTGTTGACATACAAATTTACATGTTTGCACACACATGCATGTACGTGTGTTTGCATATGTATGTGGAGGCTGGAGGCTGACACTGTGTATCTTCCTGTTCCTTTCCACCCTATGTTTTGAGACATGATCTCTCACTGACTTGGAGCTTACTGAGCCTTCCTGTCTCAGCCCCATTTCATCATCACTGGAACTACAGGCACAGCCCACCATGACCAGCTTTTTTGTGGGTGGTAGGAATTCAAAGTCATGTTTTCAGGGCAAGCCCGTTACCAACTGGGTCATCTCCCAGCCCTTAAGATTTTTAAAATTAACTTTTGGTTGTCTTTTGTTTTGTTCTTCCCTATTGGTGGTACTGGGTATTGAACCCAGGGCCCTGTACATGCTACGTAAGCACTCTACCACTGAGCTAGGGCCCCAGTCCTAAAATGACTTAAATCTTTAGGTGGCAGCCAAAATGAGACCTGAAATTCACTGTAGGGCTTAAGATGGTAAGGAATGAAATCCTATCAAATAACATCTACAGTGATTCCAAACACCCTGGCCTTCTGCCTCTGAAGGACTCTTGAATGGCTTGGGAATCAAGGAAACAAGAGATGAGGTTTTCTTTGAACACTAAAGCCAGGCCGCAGAGAACAGCAGGACCTTGGGACGTGAGAATCTCATGGGCAGACAAAAGCCTTCCTGCTGACCACTACCCTGAGATTCCGGTTTTGAAATGACATTGGTTTTCCACATCTGTGGGTTCTGCATTCTCAGATTCAAACTATAGGCCAGAAATAGGTTTTAGGTGTCTGGGTTTAATGTGTACAGATTGCTCTCTTACTAATATTCCTTATATAATATAGTATAAAAACTATATACATAGGGTTGCTGTTTTATTATTTATATTTATTTATTATATTTTATTATTATTATTATAAGTAATCTAGAGATGCTTAAGGAAAGAGATGTGTACAGACTCTGCATGAATACTGCACAATTTCCTGAAATTCTCAGATTTTTTTGGTCTCCATGGAGGATTCTAGAACCAGATGCTCACAGATACCAAGCAATGGCTAGAAATCAACCCACAGCAAAGGCATCAAGAGGCGTGACAGAGAATGTTCTGGGAGCCTTTTCTGAGAGAGAAGACAGAGGATGATATCCCTCTGAGGAGGCATTCGGTTGGGAGGAGGAAGGGATGGAGGGTGGGGAGGATTCAGGGATTTTAGCCAATGTTCCTGACGTGATGGTGACACTGTGAAATGAACATTCCTCATATGCAGTCAAACCAGGTTTAAACAGTGCTGGGGATCAAACCCAGGGCTGTTTGTATGCTGGGTAAGCATTCTTCCAATTGAGCTACACCTCAGCCCCTCTTTTCCGTCACTATTAATTTTTTGAAACAGGGCCTCACATAGCCAAGGCTGACTAGGAACTCACTCTGTTGCCAAAGACCTTGAACTCTTCCTGATCCTCCTACCCCACCCCAGAGTGCTGAGATCACAGGCTTGCTCTTCTACCCAGGCCTTCTGTGACTTCTTGAGGTATTCCAATTTGTAATATGACCCTCAGGAAGTTCAATTAGTCTTCAGAAAATTCGCATTTAGGTCTAGCTGTCACCAGGTGGTGGTCAATGATCCAGAATACTAGGCTCAAGTCAGGATGCTAAGAAGCGGGAAGTCAGAGCACTCGCTTTCCAGACTTTCATAGGTGACTTCTACAAGACCTAATCTTGTCACACTAGCTGAATTTAAATGTCACACTGAGGTCCAGTTCTAGGCCCTCTGCATATAATCTTACCTGGTATCTTTAAACTGGGGTTAAAATGATGCTTTCTAACTCCTGTCTCCATCAGCATGGCTCTGTACCACACTGAACAGATGACCTACACTAATGAGATCTTGCAAGATGCCAACTGTCTAAGCCTTCAGGCTGATTTGGTGTTTAAAAGGGAAGGGAAGAGGTGGAGAGATGACTCTGTCGTTAAGAGCACTTACTGCTCTAGCAGGGGACCAGGATTCAGTTTCCAGCACCCACAATGGGTGGCTCACAACTCCCTGGAATTCCAGCTCCCAGGGATCTGACACCCTCTTCTG